CCCGCCGCTGCAGACTGCACACGCCGGACAGGCGCATGGGATTTCTGACGGCCTTTCAGGTGGACACACACAGGCTTTCACAGCCCTGTTAGAGGGCCGTCAAATCACGGCTGTCTCAACAGGTTTTAATGAAACTGGTCGGTTTACTGCTAATGTTCATCAATACATCATCACTTAATTAGACAGATTATAATTAGGGCTTTGCATTGGCAAGAATCTAGAGATAGAATACGTATCACGATACTAGGTACAGACCAATTATCGTCCTGGACGATTATCAGATCAGATTATTATTTTTCAGATTAAGTGAATTTTTTATTTTTTTTATTTCATTGCACATAAAATATATTAATTCAAAAATGTTCTTTGGCTCTGATGCCGCAGCCTCTGTCCGTCTATCTTGTCTCACTATTCTGTAGTTTAGTTCAATGTCCCGCCCACAGCACTATGATTGGTTACACCTCACTCAATGTTGCTGTACCACAGGGGAGTGCAAATTATACTGCAATATAGTATTTGAGTTAAGGTACTTTGTTAAACTCCACTGCTTTATTCTAGAGTTTCATTTTTACTGCAAATGTAGATCAGTTCCAAATATCTACATCTGTATTGGCCTTGAAAAAAACAAAAAAACTATAGACGTCACATTACATTCAGGTACAGAACCATGAGCTATAAAACAGGTCCCTGTAAAGCAAAGGCATTGTTTGTTAGTACAATATTCACCTTTACTGACAATGCAATGTAAAAAGTACTTTCCCCAGTACACAAGATAAAGTATCCGGTGTCTGGACTGCACATGCACTGTAAGACAGTATGATTGACAGACTCTGATTCAGATTTATGTGGCACACTAAATAGTCTGGTCAAACTGTTAAAATGCATCAGAGGTCATTTTACCAAAGAGCTGAGGGCCTCCAACATGGCCTCCTGCTAACCCAGCAGAAAGCCTTTACAGCAAACCCTCAAACCCAAAGTCCTTTGACTATTAGTACTGTGGTCTTTATACTATTGGCACTATTATACTATGGTATACTGGAGCATAGAACAGTATTATCATTAGTATTGTGATAAACATCAACACGTGTTGATAGTTGGGGCAGAGTATGGCTCTTTTATAATACCTGACTTACCCGACACATAACATTACATAATATTATTGCTACTATTCCACCCGGCAGGTGGTGGAATGAGCAGAATGATGCTGCTGTTTTACACGGTGTATTTAGGCAGCCAGTTGTTGTTGTTGTGCCCTTTGGTAGATTATATTAATGCCGAATTAAAGATTGCTTCCTGCTTCCACAGACAATGCTTCCAGTAACGTTTTTATGCATTAAAAACATTTGCTAATACGTAATTGAAGATAAAGTGGACAGGTTTTCAGTGGGGTTTAGCTCTGTCTCAGCTACTCGTGGTCCTGATGCTGCCTACGTGTCGTACATACCAAACAAGTCACGTAAGAACTTTAGCACAAACCACTGGTGGACAAAAAGCTACTAACCTACACCCAGAGCCTTAATAATTATAAGAATATAATACAACAAATAACCTAGCAGGTGAAGTTAGCTGAAGAAGCTAATAACAGCTACACTGCAGTTATCAACACAAATGCTAATGCTATTCAACAGGAAGTGCATTCGTAAAAAGTAACGTTAGGAGTGTATTTACAGCTGCAGTAGACTGAATAACACATAAGCATCTCAGTTCAAAGTTTGTTCAACTTATACATGTTGTTGCCTCAACTTTACCTCATTCATCCAGCCGCCTGCATAACCCGCATGTAAGTACGGCGAGTACCGAGGACCAAAAGTGACAGAGACCGAGCTGTCACACACCGGGACCACCATTCCCCTTCATTTTCACTGAAATCATGATGTAAAGCTCTTTGTGTAACTAATGTGTTAATTAAAACGTAATAATCTACATCTACAGATATATACCAGAGCTTTTGAATGGGTAAATAAATCCCTCAAATAATACAAGAGACATGGGGGCATCTGGAAGTCTGTGGCTGCCCACATTAAAATAAACTAGTTTGACATTTATTAGATAAAGTAAGTCCCACTGAGATTGACATGTCATTATACCAATAATACAGAATACTGATTAAGGATAATATAGCTACATTAGAATAAAATATTATTGTAAGTAGCAAGGTGTGATGCAGTGATTGTGCTTTGGAGAATTATTTAATTAAATTAAATTAAATCATTAAATTAAATTAATAAAAAAGTCTGAAATTATACATTTTCAAACATGAAATTTGTTTAGTTTAGTTATTTATTTGCACATGCAAAGATTGAAATTAATTACATTAATTAAAATTATTGGATTTTAAGGTTTTTTTATTTTAATTCAACAGTTTACAAGTTGTACATTTGAATTTACGAATGTGAAATAAAATCTTTGCTTGAATTATTATATTATTATTATTGATATTGTAATAACAGACTTACATACATACATACATACATACATTGGTAACACGCAAAATTGCATATATTGTGTGTTTTGACATTGTGATCATACCCATGCCTGTAGAGGTCCATATCCTGTAACTATGCATGCATACAACAAATATAACACAATGGTATCCATAAAAAATACAGTCTTTACCTCAAAATACATCGTAAAAGTTGTATTTCAGATGTCTTTGTTGAAAGTCAGATGTGGCCGATGTATTACAGTCACAATAACAATTTTAATCATACTAATCGTATTTGAATGTTGGCGTTTGACTGCTTTAACCGAACTTGAACGTTTCATATAAACTGTTAAAGCATGCTCTATTCGCCGGTTTTCCCCTGGGACCTGAAGGCAACATAATTACAGGACGGATGCGGCCACCTGATTGGAGGTCCATATATCTGCTGCTCTCTTATTGGCTGTTTGGGTCTCGTGCTCTGTCTGCAGCCCCAGCGGGTACACCAAGCTGCGCGTGCGCTTTGCCCCTCAACGTCGTTAAATAACAGAATTGATGCGAAGAAGTAACGGAAACGGGAGAATTTGACATTCAAAATAAAATAATGGAAAAAATAGATAACCAGAAAATAATACTGTATACTTTATCTTAATTTCTCTGAAGGCAAAGATGTATTACTAACTGCTGCACAAACATCTTATATACAATTTGATTGGCAGATTAAGCTTAAAAAAATGTTTTAAAGGAACATGAGAGCAATGAGTTATCTATTCATGGATATGGGCTCTACAGTATCAGTAGAATTTAATATAAATTGACTGTACAGACAGACTGAGTGAATTTCCTCCAAGCCAAGTCGGAAAACACATTGTGTTGTTTCAGGTTTGGGCCCTTTGTCATTACACGATTAGGGGCCCACGGAGGTCTTAATTCAATCATGCTGGTAATTCAATACTGAGAACACGGACATGCATTAAGAAACCTGCATTGTAACATCTTAGGCAACTGAATAAATAACAATATAAGAAATAAAAAATGACAAAAACAAAGGACCGTGGCCTGTAAACGTGCT